AACCTATCGTCAGCTCTCCACCCGCTTCATCAACTCCTGAGAAAGGACACCCCATGGGTGTGGGGGGCAGCCCAGTCGAAAGCGTTCACCAACTCCAAGAAACTCCTTCTATCGTCGAACTGTCTCACGCATTTCGATTCCTCTCTCGATTTGACACTGGCATGCGATGCATCCAACTACGGTCTGGGTGCCGTACTCTCTCACAAGACAGACGATGGATCAGATCGACCGATCGCATACGCCTCTCGAACTCTCAACGCAGCCGAACGCAACTACTCACAGTTGGAGAAGGAAGGGTTGGCATGCATTTTCGGAGTCAAAAGGTTTCATGACTACGTCTTTGGTCGTCACTTCGAACTCGTGACTGATCACAAGCCCTTGCTGGGTCTGATCAAAGAAGATCGTGCCACTCCAACTCAAGCGTCATCCAGAATCAAGCGCTGGTCGCTATTCCTCTCCAACTATGAGTACTCCTTGGTGTTCCGTAACACCACGGCTCATGCTAACGCCGACGCACTGAGCCGATTGCCACTGCCAGAGGAACCTGCGAAGACGATTCCCGAACCAGAGCTGGTTCTGTTGGCCGAACATTTAGCCGATTCGCCAGTGACAGCGAACGACATCCGATCATGGACCCAACGAGATGCCAAACTGTCAAGGGTCCTGTACAACGTGCAACATGGATGGCCGACCGAGGGTGATACCGATTTAGAGCCGTACTCGTCCCGACGACTGGAACTATCGTGCTACGACGGTTGTGTGCTGTGGGGGTGCAGGGTCATCATTCCACCGCCAGGGAGGCAAGCTGTCCTTCAAGAGCTCCACGAAGGGCACCCGGGGATCACTCGAATGAAAGCTCTCTCACGTATGTATGTCTGGTGGCCTGGAATCAGCTCAGACATTGAGAAATCAGTCCGTCAGTGTCGTGAGTGCCAGGAAACGCAGTCTACTCCACCAGTCGCTCCGCTCAATCCCTGGAAGTGGCCAACCAGGCCCTGGGCACGTCTACACTTAGATTTTCTGGGACCATTCGAAGGGAAAAATCTTCTCGTCGTAATCGACGCCCACTCCAAGTGGATCGAAGCCGTCTGCACTCCATCGACCTCTTCCACGTCCGTCATCGAGGTCATGAGAACTCTCTTCGCTCAGTTTGGGGTCCCAGAGATGGTCGTCACGGACAACGGCACCGGTTTTGTCAGCAGCGAGTTTGAACATTTTCTGAAGAGAAACGGAGTCAAACACACGACTTCTGCGCCTTATCACCCGGCATCTAATGGCCTTGCCGTCCAGATAGTGAAGAAGGGGCTGAAAAAGATCACTGCTGGAACCATGTCTGACAGATTGGCTAAGATTCTGCTCAATTACAGGATATCTCCTCAAACAACTACCGGCACATCACCAGCCGAGCTGTTGCTAGGCCGGAGGCCTCGAACACGTCTGGACCTCGTAAGGCCTAATGCAGCCGAGAGGGTCGAAGAAAAGCAGCAGCAGCAGAAAGCCCAACACGACCGAAAAGCGAAGCCGAGGACGTTTCGTCTAGGTGACACCGTATTCGTGAAGAATTTTGGGGCTGGTCAACGGTGGCTACCAGGGCAAATTGTAGAAGTGTCCGGTCCTGTATCGTTTCATGTGCTGCTGGAGGACGGGAGACGCAAGAGGTGCCATCAAGACCAATTACGGTCTAGAGTGGTGGACGACGGAGACCCAGACACTACTCAGGGTGATCCAGACTCCAGTTTCCCGGTCGCCAGTCCATCCTCCAGTGAGGAGACACCTACTCCTCAGGGTACTGGGCCACCGGAGTCACGTCAGCCGGTTGATTCGTCAACGTCTACCGAATCGAATACGCCCGTTCAACCGACCGAAACGACCGCTCCACGCTATCCACGACGGCAACGAAGACCAAGGGAATGGTTCGAAACCTGGAACTGGTTGAAAACAGTATGTTGTGTGTGTGCACATTAGTGTGTTTCTATCTTGCATGCATGCATGTCTTTTATCTTTATGTTTTTGTATTTTTCTTTGGTATGCTCTCTCTTAAGGGGGGAGGAATGTAGTAGATCGTGTATACTGTATGAGTCAATACTGATTGTACGTGACGTCACTTCCCGTTCTTTCTTTCCTTTTTGTTGTATCCTCATTTAAGCTGTGCGCGCATGTTGAGATTTCAGTTGTATCTGATTTGACCGATGAGATTTACTAGCTCTACGTGTGCTAAGGTCACGACACTATCATAGTGCCGTCCTTTCTTAAATGTTCACCCTGTATCTGAAGAAAACTGACCAAAAAAACACTTGAGTAATATGTTATTGTTTTTTCAACTTGTTGTATCACTAAATACGGTAGTACTTAGTATATAGGGATTGACATGGTACCTAGCATCATAGACGTATAGGGCTATGATAGGGAGTTTTGTTCATCTTCTTCTTCTTCAGATTCAACACCCATAACTCAAAAACGAAACAACACAAACTGATGAAATTTTGGATATCCATCACCCGAAGAGACTGGTCATACTTATTTCTTTGTAAACAACATTGTTTAAACAACAAATAGCCCCAGGCATACATTATAATGGGATCACATGTGTCAGTATAATTCACAAATGGTAAGAGCTATGTGAACAAAACTTTGTAGACATAATGTATTCAATCACCAACATCAAAATTACAACAATAGCCTCAGGCACTTTTCTTTAAATTTACTTCTTCATTCCGCAAACTCTGCAATGGTAGCATACATAGAGATGAAACTAAGTATGACGACCGCATATTGGGTGAAAAAGCCTCAGGCAATATTCTTTTATATTAGTTATTCACTCCCCAAACTTGCTAATTGTAGCATGCATGGAGGTGAAACTTGGTGCACAGGTGTATTACATCATTTCCAAGACGACAGGCACTTTTCTTTAATACTCCTCAAACTCGCTAACAGTACCACGCGAGATGGAACTTGGTACGCATGTGTGTAACATCGTTTCCATGACGACCACAACAACAAATAGCCTCAGGCACTTTTCCTTCACTCCTAGAACTTGCTAACTGTAGCACGCATGGAGGTGAAACTTGGTGCGCATGTGTATTACATCGTTTCCATGACGACCACAATAACAAATAGCCTGAGGCACTTTTCTTTAAAATTACTTCTTCACTCCTAAAACTTGCTAACTGTCCTGAGTGATGGGTTTATTCTTTTCCTGTCCTAAAAAGGTATTCCTCTTATGACTCAAAGAAGGGATCTCCAAATCCCCTACCATTTTGAATAAGTTTTGTGGTTCAAGAACACACGGTCTGAAAGCTAGCTAGCAGTAGTCGCGGCATGTGAGGGAAAATAAAGCACAGCTACTCATTCGGAACACCTTGATTACACCTGGTGATTGCTTTTGGAGAAAGAATAAAGTCCTTCCGTCTCGCTTCTTTCATGAAGCACTCTCTGGACACCCAGCGTAGATATTATAGAAACCTTGAGGCAACCAACGACACGGTAACAGCGTACACAATTGTGAACAGAGAGCTGGCACCAACAGAGAAGGAGGGTAGTACCAAGAAGATAAGACAACGGATATTCTGTAGAAGAGCGATCAAAAACTGGTTTGGGCATCATGTTGAGTCTGCAAAGCTACCCAGTCTCAGTGAGTGCGGGGACTTCCTAAAACAAACACCCCGGACCGTTCAGCATGTGAGGGACAAAGTTAAAACAAATGACTGTTCAACTGCTGTATTGAACTCAGTGTTTCACAACTCATGTGTTTGTTTCATCTCAATTAGCAGTGATGTGCGTTTGAAAGAATGCGTAATATTATCATTGCATGCAAAGATCCCTTCTTTGAGTCATAAGAGGAATGCGAATGTTAGTATCCCCTAGGACAGGGATATATCCCCAAGGGCCTTTTTCAAGGCAGGGTTTTATCCCTAAGGCTAGGCCTAGCCCTGTGGGTCATTAGCACTTGATCATGATATTGCCCTTGCCCTAGCCCTAGTCCTCAGGGTCATTAGCACTTGTTCATGATATGGCCCTTGCCCTAGCCCCCGGGGTCATTAGCACTTGATCATGATATTGCCCTTGCCCTAGCCCTAGTCCTCAGGGTCATTAGCACTTGATCATGATATTGCCCTTGCCCTAGCCCTAATCATCAGGGTCATTAGCACTTGATCATGATATGGCCCTTGCCCTAGCCCCCGGGGTCATTAGCACTTGATCATGATATTGCCCTTGCCCTAGCCCTAGTCCTCAGGGTCATTAGCACTTGATCATGATATTGCCCTTGCCCTAGCCCTAGTCCTCAGGGCCATTAGCAACCCCTAAGGCAGGGGCAACCACAAGGCAACCCTAAGGGCACTCTACTACCATAGGGGTTACTATAGTAAGCCCTAGCCCTAGTGTTAAGGGATATTTGTACTTATGCTTACTAATCCTCATGTGTTAATAATGGTGTTACCTAGCGGATGAAGGGATGCTTACTATCCCCTTCAAGTGTAGGTAATCATCCCTCAAGATATTTCTTGCTTGCTTGTTTTTGGTTGTTGTTTCACGTTAATGTTTAGGTTGAAATACAAAGTGATACAAAATTATTAATTACCGTCCTGGAGAGGATGATGGCTGAGGAGAAGGTTCATCTGGCTTTGCTACAGGAGGGTCACTCTCTGGAGAAGAGTCTGGCAGATTGAGGGGTTGAGGGGTTGATGGGTCAGAAGGGGAAGGTAGGGCTGGCTCAGGCTGTTTCCTTGTATTTCTATAATATGTCCACTTCTGCTCCTTGTCACTAAAGGGGAAAAGTCAGTTGTACTTACGTATTGCAGAATTAAACTAGAGACAATCATTAGTAGTCCTTAGGGGTCTGTCCTTAGGGTTGAGGGTTACATAACCCTCAAGGCTCAAGTTATTATGTCTAAAGCACTTGTATCCAACTAAGCTTATCTCCTAAATACCTACAATGCTGAGTAATGTAATACATCATACCGGTATCCATAGTTGAAAAACAGTTCCCCTCCTTCGGAAATATCCTTAATGGAAACAAATCTGATCCTTGTCCGGCCCCTTGCTTCCAGAGGAGGGTACAGCTTGATGTTTGCTCCTTTGGCCGCATGATTGATGTACTTTCCAATGACATTTGGACGCAGGGTCGGATCAAAGTAGTATCCATGAGCCTGTCAAACGCATTATATATTAACTGTTATTGTATGCCTGTGTGCAACTCTATATTACATTTAGTTAAAGCCTGTGCACACTACTCTTAACACACTGTTTTGCTTGTTTGCTGTATGCTGTCTGTGCAATGTAAGCTTAGGTATATATACCTCCAGAATGTAGACAGGTTTCCCTTCCTCCACATACTCTTTCTCCGCCTCTTCACACTCGGCCTTCGACAGGAGGTTTGCTTCAAACTCGCAAACAAAAGAGCCACTTTTGAACTGCTGTAGTGCCCTTACTCCTCTTTCACCATCGGGTCTGATGAAGACCTCGAGCTTGTCTGTAGAATGAAAAGATTGGAGTATCATATGTGTACTACATGGATGATTATTACTATGTATGGATGATTAGCATTTTGGTTACTTACCGGTCCAAGTTGGTGTAGATCGCATTCCCACTTCATACGCCTCCCGAGGAGTAAGGAATGCTGGGACCTCTGGAGTCTTGCCAGGGCTGCAGAGTTGGTGATGGGCTGGTTCCTTGTCCTCGGCCTCTTTCATTACGAGACCCTTCATCTTGCCCACCAACCGGTCATCGTTGAGCTTGGTGTTCTTATGCCAGAGGGTCAACGGCTTCTTGTATGAGAATTCCGAATACCACTCGGTGATGTCTGCTGCAGTGACACTTCCTGGTGAAAGAGTGGTGTACTCCAACATGTGTGCCCAAAAGGAGATGTAGATGGTGGTGGGGGGTTTTATAATTCTGAATGTATAGAAAAGAAGTTGAATAAAACAAAAAATATCGTGAAGGCTGTGTAAACTCACCGTCCAACTATTCGGGAGGTCATGATGAGTGGTCTTGAATGGCCTCACTGAAGTTGAAGGAGGAGAACTCGATGAAAACTGGTTGAAGAGTGGTCCTGGCAGGGGTCTTGAACGGCTTCCGCTCAAGTTGCAGGAGGAGAACTCGATGAAAACTGGTTGAAGAGTGGTCTTGGTCGAAGAGTGGTCCTGGTAGGGGTCTTGAACGTCTTCCACTGAAGTTGCTGGAGGAGAACTCGATGAAAACTGTTGAAGAGTGGTCCTGGTAGGGGTGTTGAACGTCTTCCGCTGAAGTAGAACTCGGTGAAAACTGGAACAATAGAGAGACTGCCTTGGCTATCCTTAGGGATGAACTGCTTCTGAATCCTTACGGTTGGATGAAATGTCCCGTAACTCTCTCCCTTTAAATAGCCCCGAGGACATGGCTGTAAGGGACCAGAAGGGATGTTTACTGGCACCCAGGGGATGCTTACTAGCCTCCAAGGGATGCTTACTAGCCTCCAGGGGATGCTCACTAGCACCCAGGGGAAGCTTACTAGCACCCAGGGAAAGCTTACTAGCACCCAGGGGAAGGTTACTAGCACCCAGGGGAAGCTTACTAGCACCCAGGGGAGGCTTACTAGCACCCAGGGTCCTTAGGGGTGCTAACGTAACAAACAAGGATCCTTAGCACCTAGTGCCCTAGTGTTGGCCCTTGGGTGCTAGTAAGCCCTGGGTGCGATGCATTGGGGCTAACACCCAGGGGATACTTACTAGCACCCAGGGGATGCTTTCTACCCCTAAAGTTCCCCAGTATAGGCAAAACCCATGGTTGCTAAGGCTTGACCCTGGTTGCTATGTGTTATTGGCCCTTAGATGTACAAGCACCTGAATCCAATGTCAAAAGGAACTGTACACATAACTATTCAGCCTTGTACTAAACTCCCATATTAATTAAGGTATATGCACACTTCACATGTCATGCAAGAGAGACAAACATGCTTTTTCATATCTTACACAACATACATGGTGTGCATATCCCTTACCAAACCCTGGTTGCTAAGGTGTGACCCTGGTTGCTATGTGTAATTCACCCTTAGAGTTGAACTCACATTGTGACTCTTCTAGAGATCATGTTGGTTGAGGAAAGGAGTGAGAAGAGAGGAGGTAGCACACTCTGATAGACTGTGGTGAGCATGAACACACAATTAGATGGTTTTTTTCTAACTTACCATGCACCTTTTGACATGTACAAGCACCTGAATCCAATGTCAAAAGGAACTGTACACATACTAAACTCCCATATTAATTAAGGGATATGCACACTTCACATGTCATGCAAGGGAGACAAACATGCTTTTTCATATATTATACAACATACAGGGGTGCATATCCCTTACCAAACCCTGGTTGCTAAGGCTTGACCCTGTTGCTATGTGTAATTCACCCTTAGAGTTGAACTCACATTGTGACTCTTCTAGAGATCATGTTGGTTGAGGAAAGGAGTGAGAAGAGAGGAGGTAGCACACACTGATAGACTGTGGTGAGCATGAACACACAATTAGATGGTTTTTTTCTAACTTACCATGCACCTTTGACACGTACAGGCACCTGAATCCAATGTCAAAAGGAACTGTACACGTACTAAACTCCCATATTAATTAAGGGATATGCACACTTCACATGTCATGCAAGAGAGACAAACATGCTTTTCCATATATTATACAACATACAGGGTGTGCATATCCCTTACCAAACCAAGGCTTGACCCTGGTTGTTATGTGTAATTCACCTTTAGAGTTGAACTCACATTGTGACTCTTCTAGAGATCATGTTGGTTGAGGAAAGGAGTGAGAAGAGAGGAGGTAGCACACACTGATAGACTGTGGTGAGCATGAACACACAATTAGATGGTTTTTTTCTAACTTACCATGCACATTTTGACATGTACAGCACCTGAATCAATGTCAAAAGGAACTGTACACATACTATCACCTTGTACTAAACTCCCATATTAATTAAGGGATATGCACACTTCACATGTCATGCAAGAGAGACAAACATGCTTTTTCATATCTTATACAACATACAGGGGTCATCCCTGCCAAACCCTGGTTGCTAAGGCTTGACCCTGGTTGCTATGTGTAATTCACCCTTAGAGTTGAACTCACTTTGAACAAGGGCTCGTCCTTAGGGTCGCATCCCTGTCCTTAGGGTGCCCTCCGGTTGAGGAAAGGAGTGAGAAGAGAGGAGGTAGCACACTCTGATAGACTGTGGTGAGCATGAACACACAATTAGATGGTTTTTTTCTAACTTACCATGCACCTTTAGACACGTACAGGCACCTGAATCCAATGTCAAAAGGAACTGTACACATACTAAACTCCCATATTAATTAAGGGATATGCACACTTCACATGTCATGCAAGAGAGACAAACATGCTTTTTCATATCTATACATCATACAGGGTCCCTTGCTAAAACCCTGGTTGCTAAGGCTTGACCCTTGTTGCTATGTGTAATTCACCCTTAGAGTTGAACTCACTTTCCATAACACAAGGGCGTGTCCTTAGGGATGCCCCCAAAGTCCTATCCCGTCCTTAGGGATGCCCTCCGGTGAGGAAAGGAGTGAGAAGAGAGGAGGTAGCACACTCTTATACACTGTGGTGAGCATGAACACAGAATTAGATGTTTTTGTCTAACTAACAGCACCTTAGACATGTACAAGCACCTGTACATATTAATTAAGGGATATGCACACTTCACATGTCACGCAAGAGAGACGAACATGCTTTTTCATCATTTTATACAAACATACAGGGTATGCCATATCGCATAGCAACGGAACTGGTGGGACAGTTGCTTTTCTCATGCAGATCATGATACATCTCTGTAAGTTTAATACATACATACAAGTGCCTCTATATATTAACTAAATCTTCTTTATCATCCGCCTATTACTGTGTCTTGGATGTCCGCCTTACACCGGCCTGCAAAGATGTCTCTTTCATGTGTTCAGGAGTTCTTCACAGAATTTTCTGCTAGGAACTGCATGTTGGGCCTCAACTCAATCGTGTTCCTAACAGAGTTTTCTCCTCTCTTGGGAGACACTTCGTCTCTTTCTTAGATAAGTTGCTAGACTCATCATCTTTGGAAAAAAATAGATCCATAGTTTAAAACAACAGTGCACAGACATTTACATTATGGACTTACCAGTCATTCCACTTTTTTGGTGCACTTTGTTGTGCAAATGATTCCATACCTCACCACCTTCTTACCACACCCTCTTACAGGCAGGTGTGGAGGGGCTTTGGTAAGGGTGAGGGAGATGGAGATGCAGTGGTGTTGTCATCCTCGTTCAAGGTGAGGAGTGCATCAAAAATACACTCCTCAAGGTTGGGGTGGTGGAGGTGCGTCGGGGTGTTGGGGGAGAGGGGGAGATATGGTTGGAGTCACCTCTAGCAGCCTTGAGGTAGGCGCGATAACTCGCATCTGTGTCGAAAAAGAGAAAAACTCATAATGTGTTTCACATATCATGTATATGTATATAATCTACCTGAGTATTGTCCTTGTTCTTGTGAAACTGGAAAGGTGGTTCCACATACGTTTCACGCTCCTGCCAACATCCAGGAACTCGGCAATGAAGTATGGTGGTTGGGGTCTTGGGGAAGGGGAAGAGGATTTGCAGGGAGTAGGGGTAGGTCTCTTGGTCTAAAGCCTCTTCCAGAGGGTATCCAGTTGACGACGGTAGCCATTAGACGATGACCAAGTTCCTCCTCCAGATGATGATGATAAGTTCCTCTCTCCAGTAGCTCTCCAGACGATGACGACGATGATGATAAGTTCCTCCTCCAGATGATGTAAAGTTCCTCTCTCCAGTAGTTGATATTTGATTCTCTTCTCTCTCTCTCCACAGGCTCACACGGTAGTGTGACTACTGAACTGACAGCCTGCTGCTTTTATCCACTCCTAAGCCTATCTCCTGGTACAGGCTACTTATTAAACATAGGTGGAATGCAAGTAAACGAACTTTCCAAGGTTACGGAAGTCCCTAAGAGTGCTCCCTAGTCGAGTTAACACCAGCCTAACACTAGCCTAAGCTTTCTGCATAGGTGCTTAATCCAACACACTGGTGCTAGTAGCATCCCTTGGGGTAGTGTAAGTGAGTGGGTATATGCATATACAAACAAAAGTGGAAAGTCCCTAAGAGTGCTCCCTAGTCCTAGTTTAACACAGCTGAATAGGTGCTAATCCAACACACTGAGTACTAGTAAGCATCCCTGTGGGTAGTGTAAGTTACCGAGTGTGTATAGGGGTGTTCGGAAACAACATCATAAATGTCACCACATACAGCGACATGCTCAAAAATTGCCAACTTAAAATTGTACGACCAATGTCGACTATTTCTAGTCGTTGAGGCATCCCCTTTCTAGCGAAGTAACGTCTTTTACAGTCAGACTGTATTTTAGTATGGTGTGTTGTGTGTCTTTTGACACCGATAACACCTCTTTCCATTTGTTGAATGTCAATTCCTGCAAGACTTATATAATATAAACAATGTTATTACTAAGAGCAATAGTGCTAACCTCATTTGCAGGTTTGTTTTCAAATTTTGCCATAACCTCCATCATTCCCGGCAGAGGCAAATGTCAGGACCTCAGAGGACGCCAGAGGATGTGAGAAAGAGAGGAGGTAGCACACTCTGATAGACTGTGGTGAGCATGAACACACAATTAGATTAGTGCATAGCTGATTCGAATCGAACCAATCAGATTTGTTAGTACGAGGTTCCTGATTTCTCATATGAACCTCGTGAGCTAACAAAAGTAACATGAAAACATGATATGGAAACCTGTTTTTTCTTGTCGACTTTCTCAACAAGTTCAACCAGCATTTCATGTAGGAAATGTATCCCGCAAACCTGATCTGTAAAAATGTAGATCAAATAACTGATATCTTGATTTTCTTTTTCCACGAGACAGTTTTCTGTGTCTGCTTTGAGCCCACTCCTGGATGAGTGGCGAAGGACAGCCGCAGCAGGAGTAGCTAGAGCGGCGGGTAGCAGCAGGCGGTTATCCTGCGTCGGCGTTTCAATAGTCCCGCACGGGATTGAGGTACTTGCGCTCTCGCTCTTTCTCCATCTTTCTGCTTGGGAAAAGCGGCTGTGCGCGTATACGGAGCTGATTTGCTTGCACTAACATGTTATGTATCCGTATACTCGGGAAATACCGGATTTCAATGAACCCTCAGGCCCTCCGCGGGAGTACCCTCGCTGCGCTCGGACACTAACAACGCGGAGGCCCTCGGGTTCCATTAATCCGGTATGTCCCTCAACGTAGTACATAAACATATATTTATAGCTACTAGCCACGAGAATAGAAGAAAACCAGAAGTCACCTCACCCCCCATCCTCCACCCATACACAGACACAAACAACACCGTGCACACAACAGGTAGGACACCAGGGGCCAGCCTTGAGAACTGGTGCAGTGGGTTAAAGCGCCTTTTATGGATGCCAACTCTCCCACACACCTAGTGTCCAAACCGAATGACAAACAATCCCAATGGCAGTTACTATACATAGGCAGTAGATAAATATAAATATATTTGTGTATACAAATATAAAGAACTGATCTAAGGCAGTAAAACACTCTGGCAGTAAGTCCGTAGAAAAATAGACAAAGACAAAATAGAAACATTATATGGAAAGAGATAATCTTACGTGCAGCCCGGGCTAGCTCATGAGCACGAGAGCGGCTCTGATTTAGTGCACAGTTGTATGCACGCGTTGTAAAATAAAAAAACGTATCGTTTAAATAGATCTGAGTGAGTAAAATTTAAAAACGTATCGTTTAAATAGATCTGCGTGAGACATGGCGACTCTGAAACGGATCCATTGCTGGTAATGTACAAGCATTTGAATCCAATGTAAAAGCATGTTTGTCTCTCTTGCATGACATGTGAAGTGTAAAAAGGAACTGTACATATATACTTTCTAAACTCCATTATGGATATGCAGAGGAGACAAACATGCTTTTTCAATATGCGTATACATGAACCAAGTGTTGCATATCCATTACCAAACCCTGGTGGCTAAGGCTGACCCTGGTTCTGCGTGTGTAATAGTGACCCTTTAGAGTTGAACTCACTTTGTGACTTCTCTAGAGATCATGTTGGTTGAGGAAAGGAGTGAGACAGAGAGGACAGTAGCACTGTGTGTGGTGAGCATGAACACACAATAGATGGGTTTGTTTCTAACGTACCATGCACTTAGACACGTACCAGCACCTGATCCAATGCTGAAAAGGACACTGTACACATACTAAACTCCATGTTAATTAAGGATATGCACACGTTTCACATGTCATGCAAGAGAGGACAAAACAATACGG